TCTGTACTTTGCTTTGATTTTTCTAAGATTTTTATTTCAGCAGATCAGCACAGTGCTCAAACAACATATTTTTGGCACAAACACTAAAACTAAAAACTCTTTGGGACTGGAATAATACCACGAAAAAGAAGACTTTTGCCTCCCACTGCCAGCAGCTTACATTCCGGAGAAGGGAAAACACAGCTGCCCACATTCAAACAGGAGAGAAAGAAAATGCCTCCTGTTGAATCTACTTGCTGCATGAACTGCTGCAAACTTCTACAAAGGATTGCTGTTCTTGAAACAAAGTTATTTGCTGGACTTCCAAAACAGGCAAAACACTCAGCAGACCGTCATCATGGACCCCCTCAGCATACAGCCGGTGAGTCCCATGAATCTATAGAATCTCAACAGTTTATACCAAGTGAAGAGGAACAAGCCGAAACTGATTGTCACACTAATCGATGGCACAAACAGGGAGCGAGACCCAAAGGCAGTAGAGACATCAGATTGTCACGAGTTTCTCGTATTGTCGATAGCCCCCAGGGTTCGGGAGTTACGGGTGGTTAAATTCGCAGTCCGGCGCCGACCAATCAAGCGATCCCGGGGGGCTACCGACGCGCGGAGGGTGGCGTTCGAGAGGGCTCCTTGAGCTGAAGGGATCCCCCGAATTTGGTGGAGATCCGCCGGCGCGTTCGCGACATAGTAACACTAGTCAACACTTTCACTTCAGTAAGGAGGTCTCTTGTTCAGGCAGTAGCATTGAAGTGTTGTCTTATTCGACCGCAAGTGCCCTGCGAAGTGGACTTCACATGAAATTCCTTTTTTTACTCCCTAATATCGGTATCGGTCCCGAAAAACCCATATCGGTCAGGCTCTATTAATAACCACAAACAACCTGGATTTTATGTTTCTAAACGAAACATGGCTAGAAGACAGCTGCAGTGCAACGGTCCTCAATGAAACGACCCCTCCTAACTTTACTTTCATGAGTGTTTGCAGGACTGTTAGGAGAGGTGGAGGTGTAGCTGCTCTATTTAAAGATGTCTATCAATGCAAGCAAGTATCATTTGGTCAGTACTTGTCTTTTGAATATCTAGGGATTGTGTTGAAAGGTGCTCCACGCATTCTGTTTATTATTATTTACAGGCCTCCAAAATACTCTCCAGCCTTTGCTGAAGAGTTCGAAGAGTTCATATCAATGATTTCCTCAGAGTTTGACTGTTTTGCTATTGCAGGGGATTTTAATATTCACAATATTCACATAGAAAACAAAACTACAAAAGAAATTATAACTATTTTAAACACTTTTGACCTGATTCAGCATGTGCATGAACCCACACACAATCGTGGACATACTCTAGATTTAATCATCAGTAGAGGTCTAAACATTTCATCCATTGTTATTAAGGACGTAGCACTATCTGATCACTTCTGTATTTTATTTAATATATTGATCTCTGTTACCACTGAATCTAGATCTGTCTCTGTCAGAAAGAGATGCATTAACGAAAACACTAGTGTGCTATTTATGGAGGCTTTATTTCTTAACACCAAGCATTTCTGCAGACTCTGTTGATCTTCTCCTTGATTCCTTTAACTCAAAAGTTAAGAATGTTATTGATGATATTGCTCCTATAAAAGTCAGTAAGAAGTCTGGCAGACAGAAATCAGCTTGGAGAAAATCAACAGCAGTTCAGAGTATGAAAAGACAATGCAGAAAAGCAGAACGGATGTGGCGGAAGACGAAACTTGAAATCCACTATAGCATATATAAAGACAGCCTTCGTGCTTTCAATGTGGAACTAGGCAAAGCTAGACAGTCATTCTTCTCAAACCTTATAAACAGTAACTTAAACAACACTCGCACTCTTTTTGCTACTGTTGAGAGACTGACAAACCCCCCAAGTCAGATTGCCAGTGAAATGCTCTCCGACAGCAAATGCAATGAGTTTGCTTCCTTCTTTTCTGAGAAGATCAATAATATCAGGAAGGCGATTAGCACATCCCCAAGTTATGCAGAGGTTAGACAGATTCGACCACAATATCAAAAAGAAGATACTATGTCTGCTTTTGAAGAAATTGATAGCAAAATTTTGGAAGAAATAGTACAGCACCTTAAATCGTCAACCTGCTATCTTGACACACTTCCCACATATTTTTTCAAAAGGGTGCTTAACTGTTTGGAAGCAGATCTCTTAGAAGTGGTGAACGCCTCACTTCTTTCTGGGACTTTTCCAAACTCCCTGAAAACTGCAGTTGTTAAACCCCTTCTGAAAAAGAGCAATCTTGATAACACCATATTGAGCAACTATAGACCAATATCAAACCTTCCTTTTATAGGAAAGATTATTGAAAAGGTAGTCTTTAATCAGCTGAACAAATACTTAAACTCAAATGGATACCTGGACAATTTTCAATCTGGTTTTCGACCGCATCACAGCACAGAGACAGCGCTCATTAAGATAATAAATGATATTCGCTTAAATTCTGAATCTGGCAAAATATCAGTGCTGGTACTACTAGATCTCAGTGCTGCGTTTGACACTGTCGATCATAACATACTACTAGAGAGACTGGAAAACTGGGTCGGGCTTTCTGGGATGGCAATCAAATGGTTCAGGTCATACTTAGAAGGGAGAGGTTATTATGTGAGTATAGGAGAGCATAAGTCTAAGTGGACGTCCATGACATGCGGAGTCCCACAAGGCTCAATTCTTGCACCGCTCTTGTTTAGCCTGTATATGCTCCCACTAAGTCAAATAATGAGAAAGAACCAAATCGCCTATCACAGCTATGCAGATGATACCCAGATTTACCTAGCCTTATCTCCAAATGACTACAGCCCCATTGACTCCCTCTGCCAATGCATTGATGAAATTAACAGTTGGATGTGCGAGAACTTTCTTCAGTTAAACAAGGAAAAAACTGAAGTCATTGCATTTGGAAACAAAGATGAAGTTCTCAAGGTGAATGCATACCTTGACTCTAGGGGTCTAACAACTAAAAATAAAGTCAGGAATCTTGGTGTGATTCTGGAGACAGACCTTAGTTTCAGTAGTCATGTCAAAGCAGTAACTAAATCAGCATACTATCATCTCAAAAACATTGCAAGAATTAGATGTTTTGTTTCCAGTCAAGACTTGGAGAAACTTGTTCATGCCTTTATCACCAGCAGGGTGGACTATTGTAATGGTCTCCTCACCGGCCTTCCCAAGAAGACCATTAGACAGCTGCAGCTCATCCAGAACGCTGCTGCCAGAATTCTGACTAGAACCAGAAAATCTGAGCATATTACACCAGTCCTCAGGTCCTTACACTGGCTTCCAGTTATATTTAGGATTGATTTTAAAGTACTTTTACTCGTTTATAAATCACTCAATGGCCTAGGACCTAAATACATAGCAGATATGTTCACTGAATATAAACCTAACAGACCACACACACACACACACACACACACTACAAGATACAGCTTTAAAGTGCAATATGCTAGGATTGAAGAGTATGGGTAGTGCAGTGCAAGGTATAAATTCCTCACCCTGGTCTCCTCATTCTCTGGACATGCCCTGAGTCTGGTGTGTAGAGTGGAAGGAGGAGGTGACCTCTGAGTGGTATCTGCCACCTGACTCATGGTGAGGCTCATTTTGGGATTGAATGTAAAAGGGTAGAGTGACTCGGATACATGCTTCTGCTCATCTGCACACTGAAAAATAGAATGGAGAACTGGATTTAAACTTTTCACTATGCTTTGAGGTCATTTTTAAGTACTAATAAAATAGTTTACATTGTTTGGTGCATGTTCATATCATAAATATAATTTAATTTAATATAATATATTATAATTTAATATAATATATTAAACTTTTTAAAACTTGATTGATTAAAAGTGATAGTGAGGACATGTATGTTACAAAAGTTTGTTTTTCAAATAAATGCTGTTCTTATTCATTAAAGAATCCTGAATAACTGTATCACAGATTCCACAAAAATATTAAGCATTAATATTTGTATAAATTCGGAACTAAAACATTCAGAATTGACAAAGACACCTTGTTTTCTGAGATATGTATTTAGATGTACTTTTGTGTACGTACAGCCTGTAGCCAGTGTTGTGACACTATATGCAGTCCCCTCTCTTTGACAGCTTTGTATTCTTTACTGTTGTCTCCCACTTTACCCTGGTAGATGTAATGAGTGACAGAGTCATCACACGACCACCTATAAGAGAGAAAATCCATTAGACTCCACCCCTTTGGTTAAAAACAAATCTACTGTATCTCCTACCAACATCTCAGATGACATTATTAGATTTAGACTGATTCATAGAGAGTAAGAGTCAGAGATTTGGCATTTACCTGAAGTCTGCGCCAAGAGAGGCAGCCACTGCATTGAGTTCACTCTGTTTCTTGCTTAATTTCTTGCTCACACACACCACCACCCCACTGAGAGGAGCTGCAGCCTTCTGCTCTACCTGCATGGTACAGACACACCTGTATTTATCTGTATTCACACAGAGGTTGTGTACCTCAGGTTCAGGCTCTTTTCCCAGTTGTGGACAGGCAGGCATGGCTGCAAGGCTTGTGGCATGGCTGCGGTTGCTGTTGGCAACTGCAGCTTTAAGGTTCCTCTCAATGATCTCTGACAGAGGAGTCTCTGCCCCCTGATCTTGCTGAGGCTTATTACCAGGAGTTTGTAAATGGTCAAACACATCCTACAACACAGACATACCACCATATTACAAAACGTAGTTATTTAGTTTTATCTTAAAGGGGTCATATGATGCAATTTCAAGTTTTCCTTTCTCTTTGGAGTGTTACAAGCTGTTCGTGAATAGATAAGATCCCTAAAGTTGCAAAGACTAAAGTCTCAAACCCAAAGAGATATTCTTTATAAAAGTTAAGACTGGTCCACGCCCTCCTAAAACGCCTTGTTCAAACACGCCCCCACATGTCTACGTCACAATGCAAATACACAAAACAATGTTCTTTTTAGCAACATCATATGACCATTTTAATCATTGTGCACTTCTCTCTGACCCACAGAATTAAGGCTGGTTTTGCCATTGTATCCTCTATGTATAATTCCGGTAACACTTTACAATAAGTTTCATTAGTTAACTACTTTAGTTAACATAAACTAAGAATAAACAATACTTCAACAGCATTTATTAATCTTAGTTAATATTAATGTCAACATTTATTAATGCATTATTAAAATCAAAAGTTGTGCTTGTTAACATTAGTTAATGCACTGTGAATTAACATGAAATAACAATGAACGACTATTTTCATTAATTAACATTAACAAAAATGAATAAATACTGTAATAAATGTATTGTTCATTGTTTGTTCATGTTAGTTAATACATTAACTAACATTAACTAATGGAACCTTATTGTAAAGAGTTACCATAAATATTAAGAATTTAAAGTAAAAAATTATAATGCATGGATGAATCATTCACAGTAAAACCAATAGCATTAAGAATATATATATATAGGGTCATGTTACATACATGTTCTTGGTTCTTACTGTGTACAGTTCATTAGTGTATGCATTAGTGCAAAGCTTTCTCTGCCTTTGTACTGTATTGTATTGCGCTACGTTTCCTTGCAAAATGCAGCCTTGATTTCTACAGCAGAAATGGAAAGGCAATCAAATCTTTAATATATGAAATCAAATCTTTTGTTCTACTGTTAGGTTGTACATAATATAAATGCATTGTGAATGATGCTTCATGTTACCTTTAAATAGATGCATAATACAACAGTGTTTCTGTGTGTTTGTTCAGTCAGACTGTCAGATTTCCAGCAGCCTGACAGTGATGAGGAGACGGAGGAAGCGGCCATCAACAGGGTGATGAAGCGGGTCTGTGATATTTATAATATCAAAACAAGACGTCCTACTAATAGTCTTTGTCTGTGGATCCATCTAGAAATCACAAAAGACATGTTTACTGCAGAAATGAAGATATATTACCAGTCCAAGTTTGGACACCGAACTGGATTTATTTATTTTCTCATGATCTTGAAACCCTTTTGATTTTGAGCAGTAGTTTTGTAGACAAATATAAATGAATTGCAAACATTTTTGTAATGTCCAGATTGAGCAGAGCTGGAGTCTAAACAAAGAAGAAGCTCAAATATTAGAGTTTGATCACTACATAATTCCCAGACTTCTGACTGTTATTTCAGAGTTTCACAACTTTACTGTGTGTTATTCTAACATGTGGAACACATATTCCAACATGTCTTGACATAAACACTTCTAAATTAGGAAATAAGAAGTCATAATTGTGAGATAAATAGTCATAATTATGGGATAAAATTATAACATAAGTCTATGAGCCAGAAAGTCAAAACTATAACATAGCAAGTCAACTATGAGATTACTTGTAATTATGACAAGTCAAAAATATGAAATACTAAGTCAACTGAGTAATAATTGTGACATAAAAGTAAAAAATAAGACATGCGAAGTCATAATTATGAGATAGAAAGTTGAAATTATGACAGTCAACTATGAGATAAATAGTAATAATTATGACATAAAAGTATAAAAATTACATACTGTCATAATTATGAAATGGAAAGTCTAAATTATCACATACTAAATCATAACTATGAGATAAATAGTCATAATTATGACAAAAAAAATTAATTATGCACTAAGTCATGACTATGAGATACGACTATTTTCATTAATTAACATTAACAAAAATGAATAAATACTGTAATAAATGTATTGTTCATTGTTTGTTCATGTTAGTTAATACATTAACTAACATTAACTAATGGAACCTTATTGTAAAGTGTTACCATAATTCTATATGTAAATGAGCTCTCTTATGATTGGCTAACTCCTCTGCATGTGAAATGGACCTCATTCATGAAACAGAACAAATTTGTGTGTAAATCCATTGTTACGTAAACTTTCGAATTCATGAAAATGTTCGTATTTTCAAAATGTTAGTTGGTACGAAAGAAATGTAGACCTGCCTCCTACCATGTGTAAATGGTGCGTTAAACGTTCCGTGTTCTTTTTGGCAAACTGATGGCAGATTTTTGATGAACTGCCATAATAATATTTTACAAGTTCGTTTGCTCTCTTTTTTTTGGTAGCTGAGAGTTGATAACTATTAAACCAACCATCCTACTTGTACAACAACTACAAGTTAATATTACTGGTTACAGCATATTTATATTCAGTAATATTCTTCAAAATGAGATACTAATAATACATTACTGCCGTGGATATTCCAAATCATAGCAACCAAAGAGTCTCAGATGGAAAAATGCTGTGCCACCAAAGCATTCTCAAGCACCACCAGATGGCCGTTTTTAAAAGAGTGCCTGGCATTTCTTCAGCTGGCTAAAAAACGCTTTGGTGGACACACGTTAATTGAATATTTATTGTTAGGCATATGGCCTATTAGTCGTTTTTGCATTTATGAAACATACTGGAGCCAAACCTGAGAAAGGAGTCCAGAATATTCCACTGCGTTCCTGGACACGTAATTTATGTAGTTGTAATTCATAGGCGGGGATTATGCTAATTGTGAATGAGCGGGCACGCACACCCTACTTACAAATGATTGGAATTCATTAACCTGTTAACCTGCACCCCCCATTTTGGGACTCACAGCTAAAAATAACCTACCTAACTTAAAATTGTAACAGTTCCTGACTTCAGTGTGCTACACACAATTTTGGTGTCTTTGGAAAGAAGATCCTTTGAGCTTTACTATCCATCATCTGCTCAAAAAGATAAAAAGTTATAGACACTGAAGTGCCTTGAAAAAAATTGTACCACACTGAATTTTTTTTATTTCATATAAAAATACATGAAATCAGTCCTGGAGCAATCCAGAAAAGTAATGGGTTGAAAGTCACATGTCTCATGAGTTTATATTTCAAATCTGAAGAAGATATCATGAAAAATTAGATTCCTTCCATTTTTCTGAGACTTTTCCATTTTTCCCCCAAAACACACTCACATACAGTGTTGCACATGCACGTGTCAAAGTCGAAACCCGGTGAGGGTGTTTTTATATCACTGTATTTCTGAAGCAAACCGATTAAAAAAAGTTATGGATGTCATTTTCATTTAATCTTGCCTGTAATGCCTGAGCAGTTTGTGAGCGCAGCGCTTATTTGATTACAGCCATTACCGGGGAAACCTCTATCTCTCCCGCTTTACAAGCGCCTCCTGCTGGCAGAGAATGAATTTGCATATATATGCCACCACAAATAGAGTGCAAGTCTGTGGGAAACACCGCTTCTGTTATGAATATTATTCAATATTTTAATTTGAATGTCGGATTGAAATGAACATCAACAGATGACAGGTGCGTCACAGCGTGCGTTATGAGCCGTCACGAGAGAGCGCCAGAATTCAAATAAACAATATTCCGCGTATCTTGGATTTTTTTTTAGTGGATGGTCTCATTCTGTTTGTGACGCTGTATGCTACAAAACCATATTGTTTTTTACTACCAAGATGCAGTTTTTTGAGCATAAGTTATTCCATAACGGCTACAAACAGTAACTGTCCCCGAAGAAATGAGACGTAAACAAAGGAATTACCATCCATATTACAACGTTATTGTTTCGTTGGACTAAAAGTGCTCTATGGGATGTTGTTCAGTGGACCCTTACCTTTCTAACTAAACCGGGATTTACAGCAGTGGATGCGTTTGTGACTCGTTATTACGATGAATCTGGTACGTACTGCGTTTTGATTATGCATGTTTTGACGTACTGCTTACACAAATGTAGCAAATACAATCTTTATAAGCTTTCCATTGAAAAACAGCGATCTATCGTCGATGCTTGAGGCTTAGACCTTTAGAATGATATATAGTTTGTCAAGATTAATTATGTCCCTTTTCATTTAATCTATTCGTAAACATTGACACGTGTAAACAAAGAGCGTTCAGTGCGCGACGGCATCCAGGTGCGGGTTAACAGGTTAACATACACGTTTGACTATCAAATCTGATGTTTACGAAGCGTTTGTGAATACGGAGGAGAGTTTACGGTCTGTTTTACGCACAACTTATATCAGTCTATTAACAACATTTTTAACCGTAAACAAAGCAAAGATGCTTTATGAACCTGAAATTAGATCCCTTCCCATTTCCAGCTCACCTTTGTGTTAAATGAGGGTCCGAACAGTCTGTCTCTGCTCAGGAATCGAGAGGGAGTGTCTAGTTGGAGGGAAGAGTCTTTCTGCAAGGCTCCTTTAGCCTCCTCCTGTCCTGGGGTGGCCACATCCGCCTGTTCCTCCTCTCCCTCTCTCAACTTTCTGACCGCTGAGAGGACAGTGCGGCTCTGAAAGCGAGCCATGTCCAGAGGGGTGATGGCAGCACTATATTGTGGGCCCAGTAGTGGTAGCTCTGGGGAACGATGATGGAGACGCAGAGGTGGCAGATCTTTCTGAGATGCTCCAACAAAACTGTCCTCAGTTCTGTCTATGTAAAATCACAAAGAGGACATTTTATATTGGTGTATGACATTTCTTAAATTGTGTTAAAGGTGACCTATTATGCAAAAATCACTTTTATAAGATGTTTGAACACAGTTGTGTGGCCACAGTGTGTGAAAACAACAAGCCTATAATGGTAAAAGTCCAACTCTTTTTTATAATCCCAATAAATCATAAACAGTCTCTCCAAATGAGCGGTTCCAGATTTCTCCCTATATTGACATCATACTAGGGAAAGTCCCGCCCATTTGTGACGATCTCTGCCCTATTAGCATAGACCCCGCCCTGAGTGAGAAGCAGCAGTCCGCCATTACTGTTTTCTTGCTGTAGCTGCTGAAGATACAATGTCAGCGCCAAAGAGGCATTACAAGTGTTGTGTTTCGGGATGCACCAACGAACATAGGAGTCTCCATAGACCGCTGAGGACAAGGTGGTTAAATTTCATTTTCGAAGGAAATGTCCCGGGAAAAAAAAACAAGGGCCTCACAAACAAGGGTCACTTCAACGCTAGAGTTGTGCAAAGTTTGCTTCTGAATGAGGGATCGATACCAACGCTTCGTGCACGAACGTCAGCTCCAGACAAAGTAAACATCACGCGTTATATTTTGTTTTCCAGATTGCCTTTCTGAAAGAGCTTCTTGGTACTCTGTAAGGCTAATGTTGCTAAAGCTACCACTGTCTCTGCCCAGGTTTTGTGAAGGTAAATTTAAGACTTTTTAAGACCAAATAAAGAAAATTTAAAAAAATAAATGAAAGGAGACACAGAAATTCATCAAAATGAAGTGAATTTATTATTAAAACAAGAATTTCTGCCAGTGGGGTTAGAGAAATTACCTTTTAAAAGGAAAAACAAGTTTATTTTTCTGATCCTATTGGCAGATATTTGTTCTTGTTTTAAAGATAAACTTACTTCATTTTGTTAGGAAACAAGACTTCATATGTTCATTTTGCATCTCAAGTAAATGTATCTTGATTTAAGGATGTTTAGATATTTGTATTGGAAAACAAGACAAAAATACTGAGGAAGACATAAAACTTGAAAGGACAGTGAGCAAAAGGTCTCACCTCGCTCCCAGGTGTTTGGCAAGCTGAATGAGAGACTCTCTCTCAGCTCCAGTGAACTGACTGACAGACAGCACACAGTCTTTGAGAGGAGAGAAGCCTTCTCTCACTACTACTGGAGTGAAAAGAGGATGAGAGGCTAGCGGCAACACGCACTGCTGCTCCACACACATGGCCTGAACACACACACACAAACACAGACCAGTAGTAATAAATAAACATCACAAAAAGTATCATGTCCGTGCATAAACTCAAATGTATCTTTCTTACCAGCCAGGTATCTGTTGCAACCTCATCTACTGTGGCCTCCACATCACAGCCCAGCAGTGGCACGATGGCATAATGCGCCACAGCTCTCGAATGGCCGACCAAGATCTTCCCAGCGTTTTCCATGACTAGCTCTGAGAGCTGAGCTTCAGCCTCGGCTCCAAAACCAACCAAGATAAAGCGCTTCCATGAAAACAGGCCACCCTCTGAGGTTACAACCAAGGTGGAGTCCTTCCCTGCAGGTGGAGGCTCTGGAAGCAAAACGCTCTGCCTACTGCTGGTACTATTACTGGCCTGAGGTAGCTCCACTACAGAAAAGACAGGCAGGGAAGAATGAGGGAGATAGACAGGTGTAGACAGAGGAGAATTTAAATATCTATCAACTCACCCACAGTCTGGTCATTCTCCATGTATTGCGATAGCAGGTCTTCCTCTGCTCTGGCTTGTCGGCTTGGACTAGGGGCAGGAGGGGGAGCTACAGAGGGTCTGGAGGCACGGGGGGCGGCTTTGTGAGGAGCAGGCATATCAACAGTGGCTGGGGCAGGGGGCAGGAAGGAGGGGTGAAAGTAGTCATCCTCTGGGAGCAAGGAACCACGGGAGAAACTGTCCAGCAACCACTGCACAGTCACTATATGTGGTCTGAGGGGAAAAACACATGTCTGAGAAGCACATTTGAATTGTTTAAATTGTACCTTCTTCTGACCAAAGGAGGCCAACTTGGATAGGAAGGATCCATCTGAACAACATGTTCCATGAAACTTGTGTATTCGGCAACTAATTCCACCTCAAAGGTCCTCATTATAGCAACTTGGACAATAAAGATTGTTTAGTGTTTTTATTGTTAAATAAAAAAACAACAAAAAAAACAATACAGTGACATGGATTTAGACTGACTTGTGAGTGGCTTTGTCAAGGAAGACTTTGATCCCCTGATCTGGTTCACCCATCACTATATGTGTCAGCTCTTGGCTGGGCTGGTTGAAGCGCAGCCCTCCGGCAGAGTTCACCATCATTCGCAGTTTCTCCAGTTTCTTTCCTGATAAGCCACATAGGTATAACTACAAGAAAAAAAGGTGAAAAAGTGTCAACGACTGAATTTTTTTTTTTATGGTTTCAGATTCAACGTTTAAATTGACACAAATGCAACAGGATATCACTTTTAAAGGGGTCATATGACGCGATTTCAAGTTTTCCTTTCTCTTTGGAGTGTTACAAGCTGTTCGTGAATAGATGACAAAATAATCACGTCATATGACCCCTTTAATCTAAACAATGTCCCAAACCGTTTAGTTTTACTAAACATTTAAGTAAAACTAACCTTACAGCCATCCAACAGGTCATCAACTCGACAAACAGTCATGTCAAGGCTGATTCCTTCTGTTGTGAGGGCTGTTTCATTGACATTCACACTTATATTGGAAATATGGCTCAATCCCAGAAGTGAGGGACCTTCTGCACAAACAAATGACACAAAGAAATATACATCTGTAAACTTAATAAATCAGACATTGGAATTAGTTATAATTCTAATCAACTCAGGTGATATGTTTTATTAAATAAATAACAATTATAACACTTAACTTGTATAGGGTCAATATACACACTAGCTTTCGAAAGTTTGGGGTCTGGTAAGATTTTTTTTTTAAAATTGAAATAAGTCTCTTATGCTCACCAAGGCTGCATTTATTTGCTCAAAAATACAGTAAAAAATGGTAATATTGTGAAATATTATTACCGTTTAAAATAAATGCTCTCTATTTTTTTAATATTTTAAAATGCATTTATTCCTTTGATGGCACTAGGGCTGGGGGATATTTCCGATTTTATAGATTAATTCAAATTTTATGTTTTGCCATGATTTTATTTTTTATAAATCGAGGAATCACGATTTTGAATAGAAATATTACCAAACGTTAGAATTAGACACTAGAAAAGAATGATCCAAACGCATGTTGGCGCACATGATTAACCGCCCACATGTGACGCGCTCTGTGAAGGACCACAAGTAGAATATATCACTAGGTAGGTGCCATTCACACTGAATGAGCTTGTGTTGACAAAGATGCAACGCGAGCAGTGGAATAGGAAAAAAATGCAGAAAGATGGGATTTGAACTTCTTTTAACTTGAGCTCCGCGTTTTTAGAATGTCGTTTCATGCATGAGAGACGCTGCAGGAGACACGAGAGCAACAGTCGAACACATCCATGTTTACACAGAAAAAACTATGGAAAATCGAATGAAAACCTGTAAAGAACTACTACTGTATGTCTGAAATTTCATGTTTGCATCATGGTGACAGGCTGTTCATTGTTCATAGCTAATAATAGTCTACTGGTGTTATACCTTCAGTTGTTTTGAATTACCTTGACTTTTGAGATTTTTTTAAAGCATTCTCTTCGCTGCACTCTTCTCTTCTCATTCAAACTGTGTGTTGCGTTTGGTTACAACAGTCAAGATGATGAAACTCTCTCCAAGATGTTCCTATAATTATACTTGATCTGTAGATAAAGATCCGTGGTTTTGCATAAAAGGACTTTATCTTGCTGGAGTTTAGTGCTGTTTCTAAATCATATTACTTTATACCGGGTGTTTGTTAGATCAGAACACTGGAGTAGAGAGCACTATGAATTGTTCTTCATGTGCACAGTATTTTCATGAATACATGGTTGACCTGAAGAATGAAAGTTATATCATACACTTGGAAAATTATGAGCTATATCACTGCTTATCGATACTAGAGGTGTGACAATACACTTAGCTCACGAGAGGAGACAAAATACAGATACTTGGTTCACTAGAACAAGACAATATTTTAATGCTATTTTTAAGAAATGTTCAATGACAAAATATTTGTCTTTTAATTACAAAAAGTAAAACAATGCAGTTGTATTTTGAAATATTTGAACTAATC